ATTATATTAATTAATATTAATATTGTAATATTAGTCACCTTTGGCTAAAAAAATGACGGGAGAAAATGTTGCTGTTCTACCTGTGTTAAGTAGAAGAAATATGCTGATTTAATAGAGCAAGCTCAATTAAGCCAGATATTACTGATGTTCTTGGCAGCTGCCATCATTTTAAAAAGCACTGTCCTGTGGACTGGAATTGTTTACACTGTGTTTACTAGTATATAAATTGGTAGGATGCAAACTCTGCACACACATAGGATAAGTATATTTTAAATAAAATTACTGTGGTAAATAGAGCAGTGATTTTTTAAAAGATGGTTGATATCCATATAAGTCACTCAGAGATGATATTTTTAAAGGTCAGTTTTTGAGTACAAGCCTTTTAAAAAGGTAAGAAACTATTTTCATATGTGAAAGACTTCAAATATGGAATGAGAGTAAAATCATCATGTGATTTGGAAAATACCAACTTGGGTACTTTTATTTGTTTGGCTTTGAAGCTGCCCAACTCTGCAGCAACACTGAGCAATCTATAAATAAAGAAAACAAAATACTTAATTTTTTTCTTAAAATAATCTGGTGCAATTCAAAATTCCTCACTTCACAGGGACCTTTCATAGCATTCTAATTTGTCCCCTCTAATTGGACAATAATTTGGGACTATCTAGTCTCCTGCAAAGAGATGAGCTCCTTCTAACCACTAACAGAAGGGGGGGGGGGAGGAAATTATTACTATTTTTATAATAGCATATCACAAATTTCTCATTATCTCTACAATCTTCTATAACTGCCCTAAATCAGCTTTGAAATGCTGCACCCTCTAATGCTCTGGAAAGGTTGACTGGGGTCTATAAGCACCATAATGTTTCTTCTCCTCTTTCTACCAATAAGAATATTTTGACAGGAAGTGAGCTGGATCCATTTCATTTGCTGGTCCAAAGATTTCAGTTTTCTTCATTGTCTACTTTTGGCACAGGCTATACTAGAATAGACTCTGCCCCTTAATTTCTAGAGCAGAAAATAATCTTATTTTTATCTTAATCTTATACAATAGGACAGAGGTGTCAAACTGCCGGCCCGTGGGCCAGTTGCATTATGTGGAGGCTATGCCCACCCCAGCTCTGGCAATGGGAAAAAAGTCACGATATGTCACGACACATCACGTAACACGGCGAGTTTGACACCCGTGCAACAGGAGAACATATCAGCCCGTTTTTTAATCTATTTCATCAGCTGTTGCCTATGGTATCACATTAGGGATGCATTTCAACACCCTTAACAAACCAAATAAGAGTAAAAGCCAACTTCATTGATTTATTCCCTCATCTAATAACCATCCTTTCCCATAAGCAATTGACATATGCTTTCTTTGCTTAGATAATTCCCAGGATATAGATACAGTTGAATGAATTTCAGCCATTTCGTACAACCACAAAATAGCTCAACAAGTCCAATGAAAGAGCACGCTGGATGTGGTCTGCTCACTCATTCCCAACCATTAACAGATGTGAGTGAGCTTTTGCTGGCATCTGGTATTCTATTGTAACCTTTTGCTTGCTCAAGTTATTTCCTCTTTGTTAGCATCTAAAATAATTCTCAGGAAAAATTCTAAATTTAGACAATGGTATTAATTTATGCCATCTTGTCCCCTCATCCCTTAGGCTACATAACTGTTTTACTGCTATCCATAAGAAATTGCAGAGAAAGAAGCTAATATTTCAAGCTATTTCTGGATATTTTGAACTGACTTTTACTTAATACAGTACAGTGATACATAATCTATTCGAGAGAAAAAATGAACTCAGATTTAGCTTAGTAGATTTTTCTAGACAATTTGTGACAATTTGAATTCCCAACATGATGCTCAAAGCTAACCCCAGTCCAATGCTCTTTCTGACTTTTTACATTTTAAAGAATTCTTTTAATTTCTTTTATAAGAAACTGGCATGCTGCCAGTATAATTTTCATATCTAGGAATGCTTCTGGGCCCAAGCGAGCTTCAAAAGATTTTTTTTTTTTTTTACAGAATAAAAATAATGAGTAGCAGCATTTGGGTGCTTAAACTGGAAGTATGTTCTCTGGCATGGGAAAAAGGACAAAGATAAACAAATTTATTAAATGTTGATTTCTAATCTATCATGGCAGTAATTTTTGGAATGAGTAAGTCATTTGTAGAAGTTCTATGATAAATTCTTAACACTGCAGCTCCAAATACTGGGGAATCTCTGAAGAATTTTACATCATTTCAGGATAAAATTCAACTTGTAAAAGAATCATCTTTGATTATTGCGCCAGTATTATCTGTGGTGATGTATTAAACAGAACTTGCAACAGTATAAAAACTGTTTGATCTGGTAATTTAAAATTGACATTTTTTTCTTTAAATTTTCCTTTAGGAAGCGCTGCCCTTGCAGGCGTTTCAGGGAATCTATCTGTATAAACATTATAAAGCTAAATGCATACTCCGGTCTTCACTGTTCATGTGTGCAAAGATCTATATAAATCTTCTTACAATATGCACTCATTTCATATTTTCTTTTTTCATAGATTGAAGAAAGGTTGCATGTGAAACAACGTTAAGAAAAAGGTGTTGACTTTCAAAATACCATCATCATCATATTCTAAAAGAAAAGTTTTCCACCCCATCTAAGAGTCACTTAGGTGAGATAGGTGGCTGTACAAACTGAATATTTTTTTTTTTAAAAAAACCCTCCTATTCTACAGTCATACTTTTCTATAGCTTTCTTTCTTTCTTGTCTTCCACATCTGATGGATGCAGCAAGAACCTATTGTGTTATCTTATACTGAAGTATGTCTTGAGGGTCTTCTAAATAAATATTTGTATCTGGGTCACCCCTAATTATCCATCCTTCCTCACAGCTTTCTTAATGCCACAGAACTGACCTTTGACTGCCCTGTGCAGATAATATTCCTATCTTGCTGGAACACTTGGAACCCATTTCAGTCTGAGGCACACTTAAATGGCTGTCTTTTTCCTTAGCTTTGTACTGAATGGCTGCAGGCAATTCTAATTTTGTAAGCTGTCCAAAGTCAGTTGGCTGAGATGGATGGCTATAGAAATCGAATAAATTAATAAATTTTAAGGATTGAAAAAAAAATCAGCCAGTTTCATCTAAAAGTTAAAACATTGGACCAGGAGTGAGGAAACCCTTGCATGGAAGCCAGCTAGTTGACTTTGGACTGATCATTCTCTCTCAGTTCTAGGAAGAAGGCAATGGCAAATCATTCTGAAAATCTTGCCAAAAAAACTGCATGGAGTTGTCCATGAAGTAGAATCTGACTCAAAGGACCCCCCATCCTGCTCTCCCAAAACAGCAGAGAGTTGATCAGAAGACAAGCAATGTCTATTCAGGGATTTGAAAAAGGTTTCCAATTTTGAGAGGGACCTCGGAGTCCTAGTGGACAATCAGCTAAATATGAGCCAGCCGTGTGCTGCAGCTGCCAAAAAGGCCAACACAGTGCTAGGCTGCATTAACAGAGGGATAGAATCAAGATCACATGAAGTGTTAATACCACTTTACAATGCCTTGGTAAGGCCACACTTGGAATACTGCATCCAGTTTTGGTCACCGCGATGTAAAAAAGATGTTGAGACTCTAGAAAGAGTACAGAGAAGAGCAACAAAGNCACAGACATGTCAAACACAAGGCCCGGGGGTCGGATGTGGCCCGCGAAGTGGTTTCATGTGGCCCGCGAAGCCATCCTGGAAATAGTGAGGGAACGGCCCCTGCTGCCTTGGCCCTGGCCCAGGCCGGCCGGGAGCCAATGTACACTTTTGTGGTGGCCATCTATGCTGAAATGCATTCAGTCTTAGCTCCACAAGGCCGTCTGGAAACAGCGAGGAACCAGCCCCTGCCGCGTCGGCCCCACCCCCTGGGTGCATGCTGGGGAGGTGTCACCCTTTGTGAGGAATGAAGAAATGCACCATCGCCTGGAAGTGGCCAGCAAATGGTCCTCACCTACTTCAAATATCCGGCTTGGTGGGCGCTGCCCTGGTCCCACCCCTTTCTGCCAGAGACCCTCAGATCTGTCCCACTCCTGCCCAGGCCCCCACAGGCCCCCTTGACGCGAATGATGTAGAGATGACCATGCCCACCCAGTAGGCCACACCCATTCCATCCACGCCCACCCAGTAGGCCGCACCCACCCGGCCCCCCAAGGGCAACCGCAATGCTGATGCGGCCCTCAATGAAATTGAGTTTGACACCCCTGCTCTAGCATGACAGCTCCTTTAAAAAAAAAAAATAACAGTCCAGACATCAACCTGGTTGGTTTCCCATTCCTCTCCAATTACATTACATTTGAAAATATGTTACACTGTATATTTTTCTTAGTTCAGGAATGAAGAAGTTATGTCCCTATAGACATTGTAAGATTACACCTTCTATGTGCCTTTTTCCATTGGAGACTGCTAACTGGGGATGATGGTAGTTCTAATTCAAATCATTTGTGAATACTGCATTCATGCATTCTTACCAAAGAATGAGGAAATTAGGAATGAAAGACAGAGGATAGCCTTTGCCATTTTACTAAGATCCTGTTTTTTTATCAGGTTAATGCATTTGAATGTGTGTCTTTTCCAGTTGGTTTATACGTGCATCATTTTTGCTTTCCCTGCATTTTACTAAAACAAGTAAATAGCCTGCCTCTAGTGCTTGATCAAGAGGAAGAATGCTTACAGCATCACACCAATCCCAACCTCAGTGAACTCTGAGGCAGTTTGCAAAGTTCTTGCACATTACCATTCAGGGCTAATTAGAGAGAACAATTTACTCAGAGCAAATCTATCAAGTGTTTTTCCAGTAAAAGGCTTTAACCATGTATAACAGGATATGGATGACACTCAGACCATATATCAAGAATCAGAGATGGCTTCTCATTTTCAGATCCCATGAATCATCCTTCCAAATGCATTGTAAAAATTAAGGCTAGAACAGCCCGGCCACTCAAGTGTTAGTAAAGTCTGTGCAATACTGTACCTGTCTGCCGTCTTTCTGGTTGCATGCCTCAACTGTGACCTGGGAACCAGTGGAAAAGGAGGTGATTGAGAGGCACTTGTCCTGCTGCCTGATTAAAGGGTCACTGAAAATCCACTCCTTTGGGGGCAGAAAGCAAGAAGACAATTTAGCATAAGGCGATAATACAGGGGTCCCCAACCCTCAGGTCGTGGCCCACTACTAGGTGGTGGCCTATTTGGAATTTGGCCATGTAAATGGCTGGCTGGAGTGCACATGCAGCTCAACTTGTGCGAGCCAGCAGGCACTCGTATGTGTGTGTGCTGGCCTGCCACTTGCGCAAATCAAACTGCACGTGTGTGCACCGGCCTGCCGCTTGCGTGGCCCAGTTCCCCTCTCTCCCCCAGCTGGGCCGGTGTGCACATGTGCAGCTTGATTTGCGCAAGTGGCAGGCCGGCACGCACGTGTACGACTGCCCGCCGGCCTGCTGGCTCGCACAAGTGATAGTACAACATTTTCTCAATTATATCTGCTAAATTTATAGCTTTTGTTTAGAATAGAAAGCCTGACTGAAACATTTTCCCCTCCTATATTGACTTATACAATTGCCCTTCAGCAGGGAAGGAGAAAAATGGCATAAATCAGGAAATAGCGACTTGTTTTCAGAAGAATCTGCAATTGCAGCAGCATTTTTGTATTGCTATTGTCATCAGTGCTTGTAAAAAGCAATTGTAGGTTTCCATTGTGATAGAAAGCCCTCAAGGCTCTTAGGAAATCAGCTGCTTGCTTTCAAGGTTTATATTGAGTAGGTTAGTGCTGGGAGTGAGTTTGTGGGAATAACACTTATTTATTTATTACTTTATTTGCTACTTCTGTTTGCATAAAATCCAAACTGAACAAACAAACAAATAAATGTTGTTCATAGCTATTTACTTAATATCTGCCTAGTTTAACCCCGAGAGTGCCTCTAGAGAGGAATGGTCCAAGGTATCTTTTGTGGCCTGGCCATTAGCGATCCCTCTACCAAGCCACCTGGTTTTGACCTGCTTCGTTTTGTCTGGACAAAATTGAACAGAATTAGGTATGATAGTGGAACAAGTGCCTCTGCACTTATTCCATCAGTGGGGATGGAAAGATTATTCTTGTTGCAGTTGTGGTGCTGATATGCAAACTGTTAAACATATTGTGCTACATTGCCCATGATGTATGTTCTCTGGTTTCCTAGAAAATCTGCATGAAGCAACACCAGAGGTAATCACCTGGATAGCTTAATTGGACATCCAGTTATGAAGGCACTACTATACCCCCATAGAAGTTTTACTTAGAATTATGTGGATTTATAGGTTTACTTCTCTTCTGTCATGTTCTCATCATCATCATCATCATCATCATCATCATCATCATCATCATCATCATCATCATCATATTATTATTATTATTATTATTATTATTACTACTACTACTACTACATTAATTATTATATTAATTAATATTAATATTGTAATATTAGTCACCTCTGGCTAAAAAAATGACAGGAGAAAATGTTGCTGTTCTACCTGTGTTAAGTAGAAGAAATATGCTGATTTAATAGAGCAAGCTCAATTAAGCCAGATATTACTGATGTTCTTGGCAGCTGCCATCATTTTAAAAAGCACTGTCCTGTGGACTGGAATTGTTTACACTGTGTTTACTAGTATATAAATTGGTAGGATGCAAACTCTGCACACACATAGGTTAAGTATATTTTAAATAAAATTACTATGGTAAATAGAGCAGTGATTTTTTAAAAGATGGTTGATATCCATATAAGCCACTCAGAGATGATATTTTTAAAGGTCAGTTTTTGAGTACAAGCCTTTTAAAAAGGTAAGAATCTATTTTCATATGTGAAAGACTTCAAATATGAAATGAGAGTGAAATCATCATGTGATTTGGAAAATACCAACTTGGGTACTTTTATTTGTTTAGCTTTGAAGCTGCCCAACTCTGCAGCAACACTGAGCAATCTACAAATAAAGAAAACAAAATACTTAAAATTTTTCTTAAAATAATCTGGTGCAATTCAAAATTCCCCACTTCACAGGGACCTTTCATAGCATTCTAATTTGTCCCCTCTAATTGGACAATAATTTGGGACTATCTAGTCTCCTGCAAAGAGATGGGCTCCTTCTATCCACTAACAGAAGGGGGGGAGGAAATTATTACTATTTTTATAATAGCATATCACAAATTTCTCATTCTGTCTACAATCTTCCATAACTGCCCTAAATCAGCTCTGAAATGCTGCACCCTCTAACGCTCTGGAAAGGTGGACTGGGGTCTATAAGCACCATAATGTTTCTTCTCCTCTTTCTACCAATAAGAATATTTTGACAGGAAGTGAGCTGGATCCATTTCATTTGCTGGTCCAAAGATTTCAGTTTTCTTCATTGCCTACTTTTGGCACAGGCTATACTAGAATAGACTCTGCCCCTTAATTTCTAGAGCAGAAAATAATCTTATTTTTATCTTAATCTTATACAATAGGACAGAGGTGTCAAACTGCCGGCCCGTGGGCCAGTTGCATTATGTGGAGGCTGTGCTCACCCCACCTCTGGCAATGCAAAAAAAGTCATGATATGTCACGACACGTCACGTGACACGGCGAGTTTGACACCCGTGCAACAGGAGAACATATCAGCCAGGTTTTATTTATTTATTTATTTATTATTTAAATTTATATACCGCCCTATCTCCCTTACGGGACTCAGGGCGGTGAACAGGCAATAATAAAAATCACAATAAATATTGAATAAAAAGCCTGCTCTAAAATACCCCATATAAAACCCCTAGCAAAGCCCAATCAAAACTACGCCAGGCCGGCCGCATGGAATAGATGGGTTTTC